TGCTGACATCCTCAGGTTGATACAAATCCCATTTGCAGTGACAGTGGGGCGGTACAGTATTTGCAAGATAAAGGAAAAGCTACAGCATTAAAAAGAACAGAATCTTGAGGCCCTCAATTCTGCAGCTGCCATCTCTTAGGAACGCACACAGCATGCCTTGCCTTCAGTCCTAGGGCTGCACGTGTCTCGTGTCTAGGGAGCACACACAGCATGTCTTCTGTCTACGAGATGCATGCATAACGTAGTAATTACTGTGGTTTCATTTCCAGTAGCAGATCTGCATGGGTACCACTGCTCTAATTGGAACTCTGTACTTAATTCACCGAACCACCTGGACAAGTTGCTTTGAAGTGACAGTAGTCAACCAGCTAGCAACAGAACCCTTTTAGTCTCATTTGATTCAATTTCCCTGCTCATTTAATTCGACTTACTTTTGTCTAGCGAATTGCCATTTGTAAAAATAGTAATTTGGCTTTCAACCAACCACAACAGCATTTTCATGGTCTTGTTATGCATTGAAATACCAGGTTCATCAGTCAGCAGGTGCAGAAGTGGTAGGAAAAACTTAGTGGTGTGGCTTTGTCAGCAGCTTTCCAAGCTTTTGTGAGAACAACTGTGCTTAGAACTACAACTTCCACCTCCACTGCAAGTAAACTACAACAAAGACCATGCATGGCTGTTTGACAGTAGTGGAGTCAAGACTGAGTTTTTAGGTAGGAAATGATTTCAGATACATAAATGGGATATAACTACACACTTGGGAAACTTCTATCGGTTCTGATGATAAGCAATGTTCAGTTTACTTTCCACCTCATTTTTCGACTGCTAAATCCCTGCAGCTCCTCAGCCTAAAATGAGGAACTGTATTATATTTTCCTGGTTTCAGCCACTAGTCAAAGATGATGAAAATAAAATATTTTTCAATTACCATTTTACTAAGGAAAACTTTTATTTCAACTGTGCAATCAATCAGTATTTAGACAGCAGTTTCATAAACATTTGGCATTTAAACTTCTATTAATTTTTGGCATGACCTTGGGGTAATATATAAACAACCCTGAAGAGGAAAAAAAGAAACAACACACTAGGTAACATGTACTAGAATGCTAGAAAAAGAAAAATCCACATTATTAAACAAAATATATTTTTTAAAGACATTAAAAAGTTACATTCGAATCAGGGCAAACATTAGCTTCCCTCATGCAATGGAATTCATGGAGCTGATCCCCTGAGACAAATATAAAATTAATACAATTCAGCTCCATCCTCCATTAGCCAGTTAGCTATTGCTGCCCTTAGAAGAAAATGGCACACGGAGTGAAAGGATCCAGAACACCACAATGTGAGATACATACCTGGCTCCTACACTGGCAATTCATTACAACTTGGATGAAAAAAAAAAACAACAAACACAACCAAAAACAAAAACCAAACTCAAAAACACAACAACAACAAAGAAGCCAAACAACCAAAAAGCAATATTTTGTATACGTTTTTCACATACAGTCAGTCTTTATGAAAACAAACCAGACGGATGCAATGTAGGTATATGTAACCTTGGAAAGCTAAAAATCTCCAGGAACTCAGCTTGGAGTGTTCCAACACAGCAGAATTTTAGCCACGTGTTTATACCCTTTTTGAACAATTCAGGACCAGCCTTGGTGTAACACTAGAGAAATCCCAAAGAAATAACCCTACTCTGCAGTGTGGAGAACTGAGCAGAATTTGAGCCAAATTGAATGCGTGTATCTTCCAGATGGGCTTCTCATTAACAGCAAGCAACTTCATTCTGGATTCTCTTTGAAAGAAAATATTTTTCTGTAAACACAGGTTCCAAAAGATACAGTTACAAAAATAGTAGAGTTTTAACTTGTTTTTAGCGAAAGGTGATCAATGTTTCCTGCAGACAAATTCCTCTGCTTTAAAAATTATCTGATATTAGCAAGGCTGCATTGTCAGCAACCAAGAAGTGTGCAGCAATTGTTCAAGCTAAGAACTACGTCTCTTAACAATCATTAGGTGCAGTTCAGCTTTCAGTTTTAACACTCAGTAAATTGGTTTGTCAGAATACAGCCAAAATTACACTTGTACAGCTCTCTTTCCATTTGGTGCTAAACATGGAATACCCTACAGAACCAAGCAATGTTCCCCACGTTAGGAGATGGACTTTTCCCTGCCTAAACTTCATTCAGTAACAAAATGAGTGAGAGCTCTGGTCTCGTAGCTTTGATTTCTGCTCACAGTAACATGTTACTAAGATCAGTGATCCGTGGTAACTGTTCTTGGGTATGCTCAGGTTGCAGCAAATGCAAAGTCTTTCAAGTTGGCCTAGCTTGCAATGTAAGAGTTAAATTGACTCAAAGTACTCACTCTTCACTAAAGGCTAACACTGCATGTATGGAGAGCTACAGTGGGCCACTGGTACACGGTAACTTGCTGTCCTATAAAAAAAAAAAGCCAATTTTTGGTAAGAATTCCTTCCTTTAAAAATATTAACAATAGCACTGTGAATATCTTAAAAAAAATAATTAAAAAAAAGCAGCTGTTTTTGTTTGTCATACAAACTGAAATCAAATTTAATTCTCCCACTGACTTAAAAAGACAGAGGGTGAGGACTCTCATGTGGATAAGCTCATACTCTATGGCAAGGGAATGAAACTAAAGAGGGAAGGAAGTATTAAATATAATGAAAATTACAGAAATTTCTCACAACTCCTTTCTGCTAAAATCCAATTACACTGAAAATGCACAGCCAATATAAGAAATTATTAAAATGATATGTAGATTTTTCAAATTTCTCTTACAAAAGCAGAGCTTTAAGAAAAAAATGCTACTTACAGGCCAAAAATCTGCACAACATACACATTCCCAGTTTTCCTAGATAGAAAGTTCTTTGTATAGCACGAAGAAAGTACACAAGTGTGACTGTGGGCAGCTGGAGCATTTAGGTTTGAATGCGGGTCCTGCAGAGCAGGCACTGCTGTAACAGTAGAAGGGCAATCACTGTCCTCACTTGAAAACACAGCATGGTAAACCACTCTCAGATTTTCTCTCCATGTTTTTGATGCTTTTCAAGCCACATCAACCGTAACATTTTTCATTTGTTTGTAAAGTACAAAGGTTGCATATACACTCATTACACCAGCCATGGCTCTTTACTTCTTAATACACTTCAACAGAATCAATTCACACAGTGTAACACTAAATTCCACATTTATGTTCATCTTTCAGAACATAATTAATTAAAAATTAAAAAATGATAGTGTTTTCTCCAGAACTCAGTTCCTGCAGACATAAGCAAGAAAAATTACTGGAAAATCTGTAACTTGTTTTGTCTGCTTTGTTCTGCCAGCTCTTCGTACGTAAATGGAATTAATAACTCTATGAAAAACTCATTTCCTTAGACTGTAACGAGTATAAACTTTTTGGCAAGTTGATGTCTAAAATTACATACTTTGGCTTCAAGGATACAGAGTATTTAAATGCTGAGACTGATTTTGCACTGTTAAAATCACAGAGAATTCTGCTACTTCCTCAGTTTAGTAGAGGAAGTATAGATTTCTATGCAATTGTTCTAGAGTTCTCTCTGCTTCACACTGAGACAACTATTCTCTTGCAAAATGCAGTAATTAATGATAGAACGTTTTTTGAGAAATTTTGAGAAGACTTTTTTTGTTCTGTAGTCAGTTTGCAAATTCTTAGTGAATGTGACACAGTAAAGGGAAGTATGTGAATGCAGACTGAGTTCTGGAGAATTTTATTATATTTGGTTAACATAAAAATAAAGTAGAAGAATAATTAATGTCTAACTAAGCTTGCCTATATGCTGAGGTAACCTTAAATATCTTTGGTTTTCTTTATTTGCTGATAAAAAGTACCTTAATTTAAAAAAAAAAAAAAAAAACAAACCCCACAAATGTTTATTAGAATTCTGGATGTTTCTAGTAAATCAGATATTTTAATCTCTTTGGCTACTGACTTTTATATTAGACTGACAAATTTTATATGAAGCCTATTTCTCTCAAATTCTCCATGGATTAAACTACAGAACAAGTTTTTGGACGAAAAAGTTTAGAATTTAAAGTATCTGCCTGTAATGAAGGTCATAAAATTACAACAAATTATCAGTACTTACAGCAAACAAATCTTTGGAGAAGCAAATAGTTACCATCTGCATATCAGCTCTTTCTGAATGAAACTAACAAAAGAGGCTACTCTGAAAGATGAAGTGTGAAACTTCATGCTACAATTACACATTCTTAATCTAGTTTCAGTTAATTCACACTTTACCTAACTAGAAACAGTACTCTGCTCTACACTAAACATTCTGCCTGATGAGATAAAAAATAAATCTTTGGTGAAAAGGTTTTCTTTTTCTTCAGCAAGTAGAAAAAATCTGTTCGAAAATATATATATTTTTAATACTGTATTGTTGATCAACTACATGCTGAAGAAAAAAATTACACTTGGAAGTCTTTGGAAGTATCTGCTGGTATTATTATAATTTTCTTTAAAGGCTCTTGTAACAACAAGGTAGTTAAAACTGTAAAAACATACAACTCGTCTATGCAATCAATTACTACAATTAGTGGAAGCCCTACTGTTGGTTTTTTTCTTGTTAGTAACTACTTATACAATAAAATGTATTCAGCTCTTCAAACCTATAGCTTTTAACTAGTTCAATTATTATAGGAAAATATGCAGCTTCCTTTTCTTCTACGGAAGATTCTTTGGTACAAGATTATTTTAAAAGCCTTTAAGTCAACATGGTTATGAAAAGGTGAACAGGTACTTTCTGATTCTGAACTAGCAAACAGTTACAAGCTTAAGAACTACAGGATGATTTGTAAAAAGAAGAAGTACAGAACAGCAGGGCTTACTGATGACTTTCTGACCACCTTTTGATACATACAGAACAATACCAAAGTCAGCCCGGCCTACCAGAGGAGTTCCACCAGACTTAAATGGAGCCAGGAGCTCCCATGGTTGCTTTCTCACAATATTACATTTTAAACTTTTTTTTTTTTTTTTTTTTTTTTTTTTTTTTTTTTAAAGTAAAATGAGGAAAGCAGAGAAGAGGACTGGATAGTTATATAGGCAAGTTTATAACATTGGATGAATCCAACCTCCTCCCTCTCTCTCTCCTCCTCCCACCCCCATTAAGAAATAAAACACGATACCCTGTCAGTTTGCTCCACATTTTCATGAGGCAGCTCAAAGTAACAAACTGTTCCCTGAGTACAGGAAAAACAAACAAACAAAAAAACAAACACCACAACACACTAGAATAACTTTTAAAAGAGGTAGTATCAAACAGGAATTGTATGGGTTCAAGGCAGTAGCACTACTTGTGTCCTTCAACAGACTCTTCAACTAAAGCTCTGGCTTTTTATTTCTCATGGTAGAGTTTTAGATAGGCTTATGTCACTCCCTGAGCTAAAATTCCTGGCTAACAGCATACTAGGCAAAGGCAAGGATCAGGGTTGCATCCCAAAAACAGCTGTGAGGCATACGATGATGCTAGCAGGGCTTCTCAGCATTCAAAGCTGAGTAAAAAATGAACTATGAGCTCACGATGCAGTTTACTTATAACATCTAAGAAGCATTTAAGGCATCTTTCCAAAATCCAAAGCAACTTTATAAATACTAAAAAGGCATAAGGCAAATCAGTCATTTCATTATATATAATGCAAGGCACCACTGCTAAGAAGTACTGCAATACCAGAGTACTCAGCATTATCATCTGTTCCACGTCTCTTAGGCAGAGTCAAACTGCTTGGAAATACTGAATACTTCTTCATTTTGCCATGCGTTTTAGCATTAATTGTCAATAAATTGATAGCATTTGTCCACACTTGAGTGGGGAACTCAATGTGCCCTAGAGCCCTAAGGGTACATCCTGTCAGCAGTCGTTGGCACAAGTTTCTGGGGAAAGGCACTGTTGTAGGCTTCCTGGAGCTAATGGAAATCAAGAGGTACAAAAGATTTCACGTGACTGTTCAAACGGAAGTACCAACTCCAATTTCTGCAGTTTTTGAACATTGTCTAGATCAGCCACATTAAAACATTACATCTTCTATTCTGAGATATCCTTCTTTTTAAAGGCAGAGCTTCAGCTAAACAATCTTGTTCATCTACCTATACAACTCCCTGGTTACTGAGCACACACGCACACAAACGCACGCATTCTATACGCAACTGGAAAAAAAAGAAACCTAAAATAAAACACTACTAGGAAGTATCATCAGTTCCACAGCTGGGATCAAATAGAACACAAACGAGGTAAAGCAGTTGTATTTCAGAGTTCACCTCTCGGCAAACTGAGGTAGATAGTCAGCAAAAGAGCCAAAAGACTTCCCTTTGCTCCAGTGACATAATTTCAACTCTAGTCAGAAATCTTCTCTGTCCTTTCACATTTGTTGACCATCAAACATTCAAAAGGAATGAGTTAAACAAAAAAAAAACAAAACCCATTCAACAGAAATACGGGATCACCTGTTGAGTTAGTCAGGCTTTCCACAATATAACTTTGGCTCCCTGTTCATTGTCCTTCGAACAGACATACATTGCAAGAATGTCTGATGTGGTCCTAAGGGTGTGAGTTTTGCACTGCAGAGTGGATCTGAAGAGGTGAGGTAGCAGGCTGGTCAGCAGCAAACAGCAGGGGTGATTCTTTGCTGTTACTTACGGTAGAATTCATCACGTTCTTACCCAAGTCACTGCTTACAAAAGGACTGGTAGCACAAGGAGTGGCACTTGTCACAGAGGAGAGGTGTATCTCATCATTGGACTCATGTGAAAATCTTCCAGAGTCACCAGTCTCATGACTTCCTTCGCTGTTGGCTGAATGCTCTGTATCAGCAGCAATACTGAACGGCACCTGGAAGTTAGAATGCTGGCCAGGAGAGCTGGGGGAGTCATCCTCACTTATCAGCACAGTAGTACCTGGCTGATAAAGACACACTGCCTGGACAAATCTTCTCTGAGGCTATATAAAAAGCAGAGAGGAAAAGGTCATTCAGCCCCTGAAAAGCTACAAAATAATTTCAATTTTTACTGCAATTTCCAGCTCCAATTCAACCAGAGTGCTTCCAACAGCACTTGAATGGAACAACAATCCGGGCTTTGCTACAGGAGATTAAGAAGAATCCGTTTCAAACCTTGCTCACTCTTTTCTCTTCCATACTAAATGATACAATCTTTTCTTGCTAAGCATGGCTTATCAAGGATGGTTTCATTGGAAAGATCTCAATAGTTTTATTTTAAAATATACTTGGTCAAGCTGTTCCCCATCCCTTCATGCATATTACTTAAGCATTCCCCCTTGGGTCACAGCAAGTATTTTGCTCACAGAAACATCAGAAACGTACAGCTGCTCTAGCTTTATTATTCCTTAAACATACAAAAACACAATATGATTTAGTACTCTGTAAAAATAAGATAGTGCAAATTCACATCTATGGAACATCTATCATGTTCAGGATTCGGTTTAACATTTCAGTTTTGAACTGACATTTTTCTAATTCAATTAGCACGTCCATTCAGGGCACCTGAATTTAGAATCAACGTAGTTATAGCTCAGATTCTGCATTTCTTCAGTACTTTGGATAAATCACTGGTTTCTCATTGGTTCAGCAAACATAAGGTTTTAGCTGTCAGGATAGCAGGGGATTTTTAGATGTTTATGCTTAATTTGCATTTATACAAAGTCTCTGCAGGTGTACTGTAAATGCTTTGCACGGACAGTATACAGAAGTCTGTCTGCTCACAAAAGAGAACAGGCGAGAAAGTCATCAGTTGACTACAAAGAGTTAAAATATTTGACAACTTGGGACAGAAAATAAAAAGTCCACATGACTTTGCTACAAGGTAGAACACAATCAACCTTAACAGAAGTAGAACTATTCTATCAAAAATTAGACCAGTAATGCAGACACACAGAAAACTCCTTAAATTCCTTTGCAAACAGAGGGTAGTAAAGACTGTGTATCTCTGCACATTAGACCAGTTACCTCCTCTGTCTTCATCTTCTTAGTATCCTGGAAGAACAGCCACCTCTTCTTGCAGTTGGCCTTTGTGACAGGCCCATAGCTGTTAATAATAAGATCGGATCCTCCCTACAAAGAAAAGAGAGAGGAAGAGAGATAGACGTTTATTTTAACAGAATTAATTTCTAAGAGATTTGAACATATGTCTCTATTCCTACCTATTGGCTCCATATTGAAAATAAAGACAAAGTCTTTCTTAATGCTCAGTTTTCTGTGGTCTAGTATTCATCTACTGCCTGAGATGAGTGAAGACCAGTCCCACTGAATCTGGCAGATTCACAGCCTGAACTCACAGGTATGATACCACAAACATAGAGCAAACAATTCCAGTCACTGTTCCTATTCTAGTCTCGAGTGTCCGTGTCTGCACTGAGCTCAATTTCCATTGTTTTCCAGCTCTTGCCTAATTCTTCAAAGAACAGCTCAAATCAAGTTTGCAGTATGTATGGGATATGTCTTAAATCAGTGCATCTGTATGTGAAAGAAATCTAAGAGATTCTACATATCCACCGATACTTCCTGCCATCTAGACTAATCTATAATTTGGCATATGTAACTGCCCTACCAGTAAAAATACAGGAAGATATTTAATACCTCTTGTGTGTCTCACTTGACTAGATTGTATATCAGCACTGACTTTAACTAGAAGCCAAAAAAGACAATCACCTATCTCCTCGTCTTAGAATAGAAGCTCCAGACTAGCCATCCCACCACCCCTAAGCTGATGGACCTTTTATCCTCTGACAGTGTGCCAGAGCCACAATCGGCATTCTGCAGAGTACAGTTTAAGACAAATGTTTTAAATCTCTAGCTGAACTTCAAAATGAGTCTTGAAAATTTGATCCTGGATTGCCAGTCACACCTGTGCCTGTCCCATCAGAAAAAAGCTGCTGTGGAGTTGTAGTGTATATATTTTGACAGAGATTCAAATGTTGTAACAATAAATTACAAGGAAAGATTTCTGTTTTGGTAGAAAATAAAGCTCAAGTACCTTAGCATCAACGAAGCTGTTTCCCACTATCATTGGCAATAAGGATTCTGCATTCTCTGCCATTCCTTCAATGCTCTTCTCCACCTCATTAGCACTGGCTAATGAGATGTTGGTATGTGACAGCCGATCAGTGCTTTGCTGCACAGGTTTAGGAGCAGATGTTTTCCTACACAATGTTAAGTAGGAATAAAATTGACCCATAGGAAGAAAATACATAGAATCAAGGATAAAATTCAAGGCTATTATTAATCAAGCAACATTATATATTCAGTATATACAGCAACATTGGTATATTCTTAGCATCTACATTTTGTTATGCGATACTCCCAATTCTTATGAAATTTAAATGTTATTGCTTGTGACAAAAATAACATCTGCTTCCAGTTAATCATGCACAGGCTACAAGCAGAAAGGAATTCTCATGATTACTAATGTTACTTGGGTGAAGTAACCACTATTGACAGTAAGACCTTTCCACCATGCTACCCAGAGACTGTCTCTCAAAACATATTTTCTTCTGAGCGTGTGCTAAAAACCTGCTACTAAAATATACTTTCAGACAGTTTTTAAAACACATATTTTTAGTGATGTATATTTGTTCTGATCCTACAGTTATGAAAAGTCACTAGGACCATGTTAGGTCTCACAGCAGCTGATGACAAGGAAAACGAATGGTGGCTTGCACCAGTGCGGTGAAACTGCCTTATGGATCTGCTTCATGGCAAAGTTCAGCAGCACTAACGGGTCAAAGCCTTGCAAACCAGATCTGGACAGACTGCAGGGTTAAGCATGAGGAACAGATGATGCAAAGCAGCATGTTTATCAGACTCAAAAGGCTCTTTTATTTGGGAAGATGCCTTGTATTTAGTTCTCAAAACATTACTGACTCCCTTTGTGGGTTCTTCTATCTTTTCATTGTAGAAAGGCCTCAAGCAGAATAGGAAGAGCCAACATAAGGAGAGGCTTTGCTTCCACTTTTGCTGGGAAGATGTGAAAAGACCAAGCTCTTCAAAGAACTTAGTACTGTTGGAGAAGAATGCATGTCTTAAGTGACTTGCGCTCATATACAAACAGGTTGTTGAAAAAGATCTCACACTTCAAGAACAAAAACGTACCTGGCTTTACTGCGATAAATTAAGATCAGGATGCAGATAAGGATGCAGGTCAGGGCTATGCAAACCCCAACAACAATGCCAGTCATCGATTTTTGGTCCAGATGGTAATAGTCAGAATAAGCTATAGTAAAAAAAGAACATTAAAAGGCTCAGAAAGTAGGAAGAGTTACCTCCTGCTCCCTGTCAGGAAATGAATGAACAGAATTACGTTCACAATAACACAGAAAAAAGAGATTTCCAGACATTCTCTGTCATACATTTTGACTCTTCTGAAGAAGAAGCTTATAACTGAAATAAAGCAGTGTATGTAGCAATGACAGGGGTAGGAGGGGGGGAAGAACAGACAGCCCCATACTACAGTCTCTGCAGTGATCTACAGCACAGAGCAAAGAAGCCCGGCTCCAACCCCTTCCTACTGGATCACAAACAGAAAAGGCTTGGAGAATTCCAGCCACTGTCACCTAGAAAGGTTTTACACTTTGACACCATATGTCTATTACCCTAAACCTGAGTGCATGATTGTAGTTATTCAGGCCTGAAATATAACTGAATTTCAGAAAGGGAGAAAACTTGAGCAAGAAAAATCCCTGTGTGAATCACAATTCAGTGTGTAACGGGAAGGAAAGTTTAGAAGTTTCATATACCTGAATAATTACTAGCTCTGGACTCACAAACATATTTAAAATCTCTGAGAAGTCACTGTGACAAATCCCATTCTGTGACAGACAAGGCCAATTATTCTTCTATTGTTATATGGAGACACCACAGAACTTGCCGTGATTTCCTCAAGGTAGCACATTTTGTTCCTTAAAGAGCTGCAAGTGGGGCTGAATTCTTTGGTGAAACCATATGCCAGTATATCACTGACTGACTGGTTGATTTAGGTTGCTGCAATTGTAGGAGCCAGCAAATTTCAACAGATTGATTTGAGATGCGATCTAATCTCTGCTGGGCTGTCTGGTTCTAACTGACTCAGTGCTATTGGCATCCCAAGCCAAACAAAGGACTTAGAGGAAATGCCTCAGCCAAGTTTGTAAAATCAAAAATAGCTACATATGCCCATTTGACAAGCAAATGTCCAACTTCTATGGAATTAAACCAGTTCTGAGTTGCACTGGGACAGAAATTCCAAAACAGTTTCATTTAGAAAGAAAATGCTACACTGTTAGGACCACTTCACAAAAAACAGAATGGTTTATCCAGAAAGTAGTTGCAAGTGAAAATGAACAGGAATCATTTTTCCTGATACTTGAGATGGAATTAATCAGAACATTGCTACTGACCCGTGGAATCTCCTGAATCCAAGCGTTTAGGCCTCTGATTAGACTCTGATGTCTCCTTTGGCAGGACAGCAAGTTCCACCACATTTGAGAAGGGTCCTTCTCCCACTTCATTGGAGGCTGCTATTTTAACCAAGTAGACATTTCCTGCTACAAGATTTTCCAGCAAAGCCATAGTCATTGCTCCTGTGAAAATATTAATATACAGTTCCAGTTAAACAATAGGAACAAACTGAGATTTTTTCATCATTGTACCTCTAAGGAGATGCCCCAGTCATTAGCCAGACTTTCAGCCACAGAAAGCAGAAGAGTAGACATCCCTCATATACTAATTTATATGCCTCCTAGATCTCCTAGATGGAATGGCACTGTACTGTAAATATCAATAAAAGTCATCATATCAACATAGTTCATGTTCAGTTTAACAAATTTCGGGACTATTTGGTAAAATGAACAGGACAGACTTGGAAAAGTACATTGCACTATGCTTTCAAAATGAAATTAAACCCTATTTAGACACACGTAGGTTTCCTTGATTACTATGCATCTAAGCTGTGCTACTAAAATATTACAGAAAATGTCTTTCTCACGTGTTGAGGATTCATTTTCTAAGATCACTACAGGCAGAAGAAATAGATTAAGAATGTAAATAGGATTCACTTGCATTGTCATAAGGCATACAAAATTTTTTCCTTCCCTAAGCAGTGGCAGTTATGGCAGTTACAAGATCAAATCTATCCCCTGTTCTCTTTCATATATTCCATTCACTTTTTTGGACTTAAATCTAAATTTCAACCTTTCAAATCAGCTTCAGAAGTCAGAATTTATAGTATCACATGAGCATATGAAATACATGTTGTTTTGTTAACAGAAAAGACTATACATCTGGCAAAGGAGAATCTACTTCAAAAGCTACTTCAACTCTACCATAAAAGAAACACCCACTAGCTGAAAGCATTTGAAGTAAAACGTGAGGTATCTGTAACCAAAGGAGCTGTAATACCTAGCACCAGCAAGGGTGAAAGGTCGTGTTTCAATATTAAAGGCTCTTTCCCACCATCTCCTTTCAAATCTGCTGCATTGCTAAAGCAAGTAAGCACTTTGTACTGATTTACTGCACAGCAAGTGTGTAAAGGCTGTAACTTCTGATCCACTTGAAAAGAACTAAGCAAGAGAGGGGGAAGTGGCTGGAAGATAACTCACATCACAGATCAGCAACACACTGCAGTTGTATCTTAATGCTGCCGTGTCTAATACAAGCTTGATCGAACTGGAGGGTTTCTGTTGGTGATGGTTTTGTTTTGTTAAGCTGGTGGATTGGTGGAATTTTTCGGGCATAAACTGAAGCCTATGCTAGGACATTTGTAGGTGATAGCATTGGTTTGTGGGCTTCTTTTTCTTTCTGCTCTGGTTTCATTGGTTGCTTTGTTTTGGGTGTCTTTTATGGTATGGGAAATGAACGGGGCTCACATTTCACAAATTTTCTCCAGAATTTTAGTGTCAAGACAAAACAACGCTGTTTATTGTATAGGATTAGCTGATCTTGATAAAACAAGTGCATCTAAAAGAGCCACACCCTGCCTCTAACTGAAATTACCTGTGAAAGGACTGTCAAAGGAGTATTTGCTCAGTTTCCCCTTTACATAATCATCATCTTTCACAGCTCTCATCTGTACTTTGCAGAAATACTGCAGACTGTCCTAACACATCAAGATGCCTGAATTCCATGCCATGCCTCAAATCCAAATGTATCTGTCCAACTACACAATTAGCAATGAACACTGATGAACACAGTAATGCACTGAGATCTGTAGCACTCCATTTGTTCATACCCTCCAGCATGCTCAGTACAGGAACACATGCAAATGTTGATTGTTACTGATATCCCCCTCATTTAAAGTATCTATGGTAAAACACAATAGCTTTGTATCACCCCTTCTTTGTAATTTTTAGTAACATAAAACCCACCCGTTCAATCTTCCTCTTACAGTTACAGTTTGTGAAAATTTCAAAAACTTTCTTATCATTTTTTCTCAGGCTTAATAGTCATTTCACTGCTGTTTTTCATAGAAATTTCACACAATTTCTATTGCAGGTCAAGCTGAAAAGCACTATTCTGCCCCAGCAATGACAAAGAGGGACTGCAACTTTACAAAACAGCTGTTGGTTCTCCATCCTCTTTCCAGAAGCAGTGCATGGGACAACCAGCAGTTTTCAACTAAAACACTTCAGTCTCAATGATGGAAAAAATAATTCTCCTTCATGATTCCACTTCAAAAGTCATTAAGTTTTGTATATTTTCTTATACAGAAAATTTAAAGCATCACTCTCTGGTGACAAGTAAGCTTTCAGCCATGAAACAACAGAACAACAAAATATAACTATTCCTAGGCAACCCTCTTTCTTACACTACTCAGCATACGACTGTATTCCTTAAAGCTCCCTTCCTTGGTTTAAAACATTATTCAAACATTATCTATTCTAACTGCTTCTGCCAATTTTGAATACCAATCTAAGAGCAAATGCCTTTTTTCCTGGCTACAACAGAAACCTGTTCTTGATGGAGCTCTTCAAATCAAAGTATTGTTCTGGAAAGTACCTATAAAACATAAATCTATATGTGATCATAAGCATATGACTACAGATCATATTACATATGAACATATTCATATTACATAATTCATATAATTATTCATTACATATGAACAGTTCATATTATTATCGCCATACCTGAAATACTGATAAATCAGCTAGCTGGATTTCAGCATTTCAAGAGAGCCAGAGAGTTAAATTCAATTTGCACAGCTATTTACTAGGAGTAGGGTAAAGTTCATTAAGCAAACTCAGTTTAGTGGATTGGCAGTGATCAGAAGAAACTTATAAACCCACACAGCTGCATTTAAAAATGTACTCCTGAAAGGCAAGGCATCTTAGAGACTTTAGATTTGAAAGAACACTTTCACAAAGCAGAACCATCATGATCACTTATCAAAGAACCGTGATGATTTATGACATGTGCACACACTAAGCTCCAAAGCAACACAGACAACCCCACTCTCCTCACCTTCTGAGGTATTAACTGGTTCTTAGCATGTTTTTATCACAACTCTTGGAATAATTCTAAACTAATTATAACTTTTATCTGAACATTTATATTCTAACTGTAGTCCATGGGGTTTGAAAGTTAGGAAGCATTCTGCAAGTAGCATCACTGTCAGTCCAGGTCATACACTTCTGATTTTAATTTACCTTCTCTGTGCAACACTTGCCATTCCCCAGCAATCCAAGACTTCCTGGATGCATATAAGATAGTGTATCGTGTAACAACTGTTTCAGGACCATCGGGTGGCTTCCAGGAAACCAAAGCTGTATCATCTTCTATCAAAGTCACCTTCACTCCTACTGGAGGGCCAGATGGTGCTGTGAGAACAGTAACACAGTACTATTAGACTAACTTAATTTACATGCAGTTAAACTGCTGTGCAGACCCAATGGCTATTGCTGTATCCCAGATAACACAGAAACAAATACATATTCACTGCTCCTCAACAGAAAGTCTCCTGCTAACTCTGACCTGGCCAAGAGCTTAGATTTTTTTAAACAAGTTCCACATTTTTTTGCTTTACTCCAAAATAAAACAGTAACTGACAATGCAAAAAAGCCCCTGCAAACAGGAACATTCCAAACACGCTCAGAATGTGAAACTCAGTTATACTGAAAATGTGCAGCTGAAGTTTTCAATTTTCACTCCTCAAACTGGAAGGTAAGCAAAACTAACAGCCAGAGAACTAGAAAAAATGATGCACATGGAATTGTATTACAGCTCCTAAAACTGATGGATTTTAAAATATACTTTCACAATACCTATAAATGGACCATAGCTCTTCAATACATATTTTAAATTTTTTATTGAAGTTATCCCAGTGTTGCTAATGGTGTACACATATCACATTTTATTTAAAACTGGTTGCTGATTTAAGACAGATTTTGAAAAATAATTTTGTAGTTTGAAAAAACTGACTTTCCAGAGAGCATCCTTTTATTTTTCACTGAGAACAGCATTATCTGTATATTAGAATCCAGTCTCTCTCTCTCTCCCACATATAGCTTCAAATTAATGAGCAGTTTTTCAGGTGATTTGGTGTACAGAACTTTTCAGAACCTTGTGTTCTCTCTTAGTGCCCTCACCTTCTGGAAGGGTAGTATGATAGACCACTGGACTCCAGGGACTAGAGAGCTGGTCCACGTGCAACCGAACTGCAAATTCATACATGGTTTTTGGTTCAAGGCCTTGAACTAACATGTGAGTCTCCGACCTGTATACAGATAAAATGAAAGAAATACAGCAGCATGAAATGACTTGCAGATCCAGATCTCAAATGATATCTCTTAGCCACTTTGAGTAGATTCCCACTGTCAGCTTCATACAGGACAGACCAGTTAAGTTCAGACATGAGGTCCATCTGCACTGTCTAGCTGAAAAGATAATTGTACCAACCCTGGAGCTCTCTAGAAGACATTATGTTTGCCATTGATTGTTTTAAGTTTTTATATAGGTTGTTTGGATTCACCGATTCACAAGTCAGGGCAAGAGCATCATGGCCCAGACTTGCCAGCAGGTATCCTAACTCCAGCTCTTTCCATATCTGTTCATACAACACTGCTTTAAACTGCAGTAACACAAACTACAGCCACAGTTGAAAAGCCACGTGTTCTTGGTTCTATTATCTGTTCTTGGTTCTACGTCTCAGATCACAGTAAAGCACAGCCTAATGCATGCAATTCCCCTTTACATTTATGGCCTCTATCGCACCCATGTTAAGGAGATCTCTACGGAACATGAATCTTCCCTACTCATATTGTAGTCATACATATTGATTTTAATATTTATTGCATTAATTATAATATTGCAACTTACTATTTGATCACAATGCACTATAGACAGTCTGCTTTATTTTGATTCTGGGAAAAACAATTGTTTCACACATACTAGGGTTAATTCAGCATGATAATACCTACATTGAGATTGAATCTCAAGATGATATTACAAAATAGATCTCACTTTATTAAATCTGATTTAGTATTTTCATCTTCAGGGGCACAAGGTCAGTCACCAGTACTTAAAGTTGTTGTGATTTTCATCCTATCACAACAGCAGTAATTGATGCTATGCTCCATGTTATATAGCAAGAGTTTTACACATGAATATACTGTATCTACTTGTTAACTCAGGAGTTAACAGCAGAGAATGTATTCTTTGAAGAGAAAACCATCCATATTAGAATGGAAGCTATCTCTTAACACAACATTTATCTTCTTTAAAAGGCTTGAGCAAATTGAAGTATTGAGGAAGCTACGCATACATCTCTCAACAGCACCATGACCACCACTGCAAGCAGTCACAGCGGACCAAAGTCTTCTACTCCCATACTACCTGGGCACAGAGTTGAACACTGAGCTCAGGCAGAATTTCTTCTGTGTCCTACTGCTCTGTGATACGTGCACTGCTTCTCTGAAAACCAAGCTGTAAGTCCTGCTCAGCTTTCTCCTGATGCCACGTATTTAGGAGCATGGTATGCTCAGCCCATCAAAACTCAAGAGTTCTTGTTTCCAGTCTTAATATCAGACACTGCACGCAGGCCCATTTTTGAACAGAGATGCTACCCATAAAATAAATAATCAGTTTGGTTGAAGAAGAGCTTAACAAAAAATTCAACTTAGCTAAATAAAGCTGTTAAAAATTCAAGAGCTTGTCCAGTGATGGATGACAGGTCCATCAGAAAACTAAGGTGTTCTACAGTCACATCTATATAGCCAAAGAAACAGAACTCTCAGCCACCTGGAAAATCACACAGTTCTTTGCAGCAACTTGTATCTTTCTCAAAGGAAATTAAAAGAGGGCAGAAAGACTGGAAACTGGATCCAGAAATGAGAACTCAAGATGCAACAGCACTGCACTTACGTTTGAAGGTACAGAACCAGAGATGCATTCTGCAGTCCTACTGGGTTGCAGCGGATTGTGTAATTAATGACCTGTGCAGATGTAAAGGCAGGTTTTCCCCAGTGAAGGTAGATAGAAGATGAAGTGTTAGCTTTAGCATAGAGATGGTGAGGGGGTGGCGGTGGTGGCACCATGCGATCACGGACAGCTTTTTAAAAGGAAAAAGAAGCATAAATTATTTAATGAACCATATACAGATACTGGTAAGGTTAAGAGACAGGACCGAACCCACAGGTTTAGATTCAAATCTGTTCTTATTCAGTATTACTACCTCTTATTCAGACCCAGGAATCTGTTCAAGCTACTGAACTGATATGTGGTATATCACTGGTTAGACGACACAGACAACGCAATAGGGAAGGAAAATGCATCTGGTAGCTCATCTTGTTTTCTCAGCTGAAGCTTGTAGAAACAGGAGAATGTTTCTGACTAGGACAGTACTTATCATAGACAGGATCTTTCTGTCTGTCTATTTTACACTGAATTGATTACTTACGGGTTAAAATTACAAGCTGCTAGGATCCTGAAACAGCTCAGATTTTAATAAATACTTCATGCACCTACAACACTTACAGACACATCCTGGAGTGCTGACTGTTTGGTCTGCTTGATAACCCTCTTCCATATTGTTATATGCCAGCAGCCTTACATGATACTTTCTTCTAGGATCTGCACAAACAGAAAATTAATCATTAGATTTAAGTATAAAATAGGGATTTTCAGGTAGTGAGATAACTTGAATGTTCTGCACATTCATTTCAAAATTTGACTGCTACAACCCGTGGACTGATAAACAGGGTGGACGTGTGGATGAATGCCTTTTCTCACCCAGCCCTGTGAATTTTCATGAATCTTTTGTCTAGACTGTACTGGGAGATCAGTCACATATACCAGTCTTGCTTCCAATAACCTGAAACAGAATTTCCTAATAGGTATCAGTAGGAGGAAGATAAATATCACATTTCTAGTTTAAACAAACCCACACCTTCACGGCTACAGCACTAAATTTTTTTAAAATAGTATTATGTAACATACTGAAAATGTTTTCAGTGAATTTCAGAGATCTGTTGAAACAAACAGCATGAGGTCCACAGAAACCAACATTTATTTCTGGATAAACAGGCTGGAATGAAGCAGAGCAACAAAGACAAACACAGAAAGACTGGTTCCAGCAACGAAGTGGGAAAACTTTTGGTTCAGGCTTCCTAGAGGATATATAATACCATGAAACAAGTCACTGTCAATAATGCCTTTCACTTAAAACTACCACTTCCACGTGTTTTCCTGAAAGCTGACTCTGTCACACACACAAGGTCACTGTTCCTGCCTTGAATGGTCTCCCTGCTTGCCTTTCTCTTGCCATGTCTTTGGGTCCTCATATTACAGTTTGCTGCTGCTCTGGCCATGTCTGTGGGTTCTCACATTGCAATTTCTGCTCCTCTCTGTTTTGTTAATGATACACCGGCCTTGATCCAAATAAACAAACAGTACAAATAAAAATAAAACACTACAAAGGATTGTAAAAATAAATGCAGAGTTAAGAAGTGGATCTTCAGCTTTTCACAGCTACAAGTTCAAAGCACCACAACAGCTGTGCTACCAGAGCCAGCTTCTCTGCAGCCTACCCCCTGGACATTTGTTAACAAATCTCACCTGTACAATGGGTGATTTCCAAAGCAGTAGTGCAAATGAGCTCTTCTGGGTTCAGCTAAACTTTAAAATAGCAGTGATACACATATAATTTTCCCCTTCCTTTGTTACAGCTACTGAAGGTACTTCTTTCCATTAATATTCTAAGAAGGTCTGGACAGATGTTATATAATTGTCCCGATATCCATAAAAGTATCCCTTTTCAAAATAAGCTCTCCTTTTTCTCTTTTTACCTGAGATCTGACATGGCCTCTCTCGTGAAATAAACAGGAATGCAGCTCCCTGGTATTTTTTCACCACAAATAAGACTTCTGCTTACATAAGACCGTCAGCTCCCTCTGCAGTCTCTGCATCAGCATTGCAATCAACAAATCTCTAATCCTATACACATAGCAGTGACTTCAGAGTAACACATTTTGTAAAACGTTTTCATGCTTTTTTTGCAAGAGGCAGTCTTTTTGTGATGCAGTTACTAACATCAGTTTTAATATCACTGGATACATTTTACATTTAGATTTATTTTAAAATACTATTTTATCGAAATCTAAGTACAAGTGGTAATAAAAAGGGGATCTTAAAACTGGATTTACTCCTTTGATGTCTTTAATGTTAACAGGAGAATAAGCAAGAAAAGCTTGTTCCCATTTTTCAAGTAAACTTCCTTGTTACAAGAAAACAATATAAATAGAAATATGTCATTTAAAAAAAAAAAAAAAAAAAACTAGAGTAAAATTGTCATTTGCGTTTTACTTTCTTTTCAGATTATAATGTCAGTCTAACAGTAGATAAAGTCATTTACTCCAAGTCAACAAAATCATACTCATATAGAAGAAAACCAGAATTATATACCTCTTTAGGCTTCCTACTTAACCTGTGGTAGGAATGCATGTATTTACCACATAACTGAGGGCAGCAGAGGGGCCATCTGACAAAACTGTATCTGGCATGGAAGTGTGGATGAAGCAAAGGGGTGGCATTGAATTTCTCCATGTAGAAAAAATGGCACCCCCTGACATTCGTCAACACCTGCTGAACATTTATGGAGACCAAAGAGCAGACATGAGCACAGTGAGGCAGTGGGTGCTGTGTTTCAGCAGTGGGGACAGCGATGTGAAAGACAAACCAAGTTTCAGATTGCTACGCACAATTGTTACACTGAGAAATGAAGAGCGTCCACATCAGCTCATCTGCACAAATCAGCAGATTACGACCAGAGAACTGCCTGTGAAGACGAATGTCAGATTTAATGCATTAGAAACAAGGGTGACATGGTTGGAATATTGCAAAGTTTGTGCCAGATGGGTCCCACAGATGCTATGCAGGAGTATGCAAGTTTGTCAGGACCAATACGAGGCTCAAGGTGACAGTTTTCTGGATTGATCATTACCAGAGACAAGATGTGGTGTCACCACTACAAGCTGGAGTCAAAACAGCAGTCTGGGAAATGGCAACACATGAGCTGGCCATTGAAGAAAAAGTTCAAGACACAGCCATCAGCAGGTAAAGTGACGTGCACTGTCTTTCAGGACAGGAAAGGGGTGATTCTTCTTGATTTCTTAGAACCTGGTCAAGACATCAGCTCTTATCATTTCATCAGGATGATGACTAAGCTGAAAGCTCAAACTTACAGAGTCAGGCCAGAGAAAGGGATAACTTTCCTCCTGCAACACAATAACACCAGGTCCCGTATCAGTTTGAAGATGGTGGAGCGCGTTGCCAGTCTTGGCTGGGCTTCCCTACCGCACCCACTGTGCAGTCCAGGTTTGGTACCTTTGACTACCATCTGTTCAGGCCAATGAAAAGTGGACTGTGTGGGCAACAACAACAACAACTTCCTAGCATCAACACCGTCATAAAAGCTGTGGAACAGTGGGTCACCTCCGGTGGTGCAGATTTTCATGATTGCAGCATGCAGGCTCTTGTTCATCGCTGGCAAAAATGCACAGCTAATGGCGTTGACTGTGTTGTAAAACAGTATTTTGTGGTTGAGAATTTTCTCTATCAAATAGTGTTATTGTGCTCTTTGTAGCTGTTATAATTTCCAGGGAAATAAGTAGAAGGCATTACTTTTGGAGCAACCCATGCAATAATCTACTTTCCCATCCGTTCACAGAAGAAACTTCAGCTCCAGTACTATTTAGCAGATCCCTGAAGAGATTCCATGTCGACAGGTGGCATCCAACCAGCCCAGGGTCACACAGTCTGTACCTTTTTCTCTACAAGTTCCTGCAGCAGAGACCCCTGCTGCATTTCCGCAAGAGGCGAGATGACAGACACAGCAATTTATCATCCTGCTGAGCACCTTCAAAAACGCCATGCCTTTTGAAAGTGGTCACCCAGAACTGATCGTCTTCACTGTGAAGTGAAGAATAGCTGAGGTCTGGTGCCCTGCTGAGCTGAATGAGGAGTCTGTGAGGTCTGTTTATCCTCACTGCTTTTTTTTTCTTTTTTAACCTGAATTCCTCATTAACGCTTGACTGGGGAGAAGAAAAATGGGAAATGGAAAAAAGGGGAAATTTTAACTCCCACAGAAAAAAAAAAAAAAAAAGAATTCAAATGTTTTCAAGAAAAAAAAACCCACATTTTTGAATCAGTGGATTTTTTTTTTTTTACTAATGCCACACATTTTAAGAAAAGCCCAACACTGAATACCAACTCATCTTACTTTTGTGTAGTGCAAGAAGTTTCAAAAAGAATTATCTTCATAAAGAAGAACTTGTTTTAAAAAAATGAAGTCTTTCAGCTAGCCTGTGGCATCTAAAATCCAAGGTTATTTCCACTTCTTACACAGTACATCATGGCTCAGCTGGCAGCAAGACCAGTTTAATCCAAAAGTGATGTGCCACAATTTTTAAGCTGCCATACTTTACTGTTTCTATGGTTGAAAAAATAATCTGCTTGTATCTGTAACTGAAACAGTAACTGAGCTGGGCTGCATTAGGTAGCAGCCAAGTAGAGCCTACAGCAAACAGAAGAGGAGCCTACAAAAGAATTTTAAAACAGCATATCAAGCAGCTGATACAAAACTTGCTTCGCAGACCACATGCATAACATTAGTGAAGACCAAACCATCTGCTAAGATGTTCCTCCCTGTTGATCATAGCTTCACTATGTGCAAAATGAGATAACTAATAGCCAAAAGTCTACCTCAAGTTCCGAGAAATAGCTGTGTATAATATGTTTTATGGAAAATACTTTTTGTCTGAAGTAGCTTCTGTTTTGAATGTTATTAACAACTGCTAGTTTTCTTCACAGGCTCATGATGTGATTTACTCCTTATCAGCAATCCCCAAAAAGCTTGGCACAAACACTTCCACCTGGCAATTCATCAACTGGATCAAACATTCAAAGCCAGACACATCCTTGGAGAGAAAACAAACTTCAGAAGGTTCCTCCTCTTTAACCAACATAGGTATCCTAACAGCTTACACATACATCATTGATAAAAGTCTGCAGATGGCGTGGCCACCTATGGGGCTGACAGTCTCAAATTCACCATGTGCCATCCATGTACATCACACAGCAACAGGAGGCTGAGCTCAGAAGTCAGGGAAGTGAACACTGAGGCCATCATTCATGCTCATAACGGACCCAGAAGTAACACTTCCTTCTACAGATGATCACTGCTACTGAGGAACAAAACAGGCACAGTGATTCTCAGCAGCCATCCAACACAAAATTCAATTCGAGTAAAACAAATGAAGAAATAAATAAAAGCCCCTCACATTAAGATTTCACCTCTGCATCTTCAACATGCTTACACAAACAGCCTGGTAACACGGAGCCATTTCATTTTATTCTCTTGCATTTGCAATTGTCAGCATTTGTGCAGTGGCTGAACGGTTGTTCCCAGAGCTGAGGAGAACAGGAGCAATTCTGTAGTCTATTTAGTGGCTGGATGATGTTTAGTTAATTTGTCCTGACGAAAGTGTTTGTTTGTTTTGCTTATTTGTTTCTGTTTTGTTTTGAATGCTGCTGGCTATATTAAGTTGCTGTAAAATTGTCACAGAACCTACAGC